TAGCTTGTAGGTGATGAATTTGCGGGGAGATGTGCTGCGGTTATTTTTATGAATGAATTTACTTGGCCTTGAGAAATACGCGCATGCGGTTATGAAAGAAATAGTTATTGTTGGATTTGAGTATGCGTGTAATTATGTGCATATGTATGTATGCTGCCGTCAGTTGTAAATATGTACATTTGTGTGTATGTGCGCAGTATTTTGGCAGTAATATGCACATACATACATATATATGTATGCATGTAAACATGGGCGTAGCCAGGTAGGGGCAGGGGGGGAGGGCCCGGGGCCCCCCCCCCTAACTTTCAAATTTTTGCCTAGATATTCAAAAATACTACCACGAAATGCTTGCTTGATAATTTCGGCCCCCCCTAAATTTCAAGGTTTTTCCTATATATATACTGTATAACAAATTATACTCCCAACGCTAACTAAATAATTAGTAAATTGATATGAAAAGTAGATATGTGGATCATCCGGTTCTGTATCAAGTTATTATCTCTAACTTCAAAGCACTTCCATTTTAAAAGGGTAAAAACCTGGCTGCAGTCGACAATGAGCAAAAATTTATTGTACGGAAACTATAAATAAATTTATAGTTCAATTGTTTATTACTTTGTCTTTAGGTGTGTGTCTTTACCGACACAAAAATTCTAAAATCTTAAAATGAAGAAATCTCGGCCAGCCAAGTGAAAAGTGGCAACTATTTCTCTATATCCAGTAAAATAAGTTATCTCGAAATTTGGAAATTGTTGGTCATTTTTGGCAAAACACTCTATTTCTATGTTCCATATCAATATTTCAATCATTAACTAGTTTTTGAGATGTAATTTTAATAAACATTAAATAAAAGTGTACGTTTTCTGCAAGAAAATACATTGATTTTTTTTTAATTNAATCATTAACTAGTTTTTGAGATGTAATTTTAATAAACATTAAATAAAAGTGTACGTTTTCTGCAGGAAAATACATTGATTTTTTTTTAATAAAATCAAAACTTCTAAAATCACAAAAATATGTGGCTTTATCGGAAGTTCACAGATGTAACTTGGCAACTTAGCTCGTTTTCATATTTTTCGGTCCGAAATTGTAAAATTTTTGTCCATGACGCGCCACAATTTTTGTACAGGTGGGTCAATGTGGCTTGAACAAAATTTATATACACAATATTATGTACACAATACCTATGTACATATTACATATTTCGACCTATGCATGCATTTATTTTAAATAATTAACCAATTTAAAGAACAATAAAAGCGTTGTAAAAACCCTAAAATTCGTCAACATTTCGCGTCTAACAAGAAAAACATGCATTTGCTTTGATTTCTGTTAAATTGATTTTGCTTCTGGCTGGGCTCTGTTAAAATTCGATTGTCTCTGGCTGGCCGCTCTTAAAATGCGCTTAGCCAGTTTTGTTGGTATTTGACAGTTTCCACGCTGATTCGTTCTTGGACCTTCTCTATAAATATAAGTTCTCTGAAGGACGGTTGGGGAAGCAAGACGCCGCAGTTCATTTGTTGCAGAAGTCGTTTGACTTGTTGCTGAAAGCCATTTGTCTTGTTGCCGAAAGCACGACGAATGTTGTAAAGCAGACCTGGGCGTATACATACACGCTCTGCTTTAGAAGGCAGCGAAACCCAGTAAAATCGGTTGTATGCATTCATGAAGTATGCAAGCTGTACGAGTGATTCAGTGTGAACAATTCATGCATAGTCATAAATTTCCACAAATAAATTCAAATTCTAGCGAATTGCAAGCGGGAACACGTTTTTGTTGTTTTGAGTACATTTTTTGATAAATTTGAAGTGGAATTTTTGTAATACATATATTCAGTCTTGTACAAAAATTGTAGTGCACGGACGTGTTGTGCGATAATATTTTCAGCACTTACGAGCTTTTATACGCATTTGCATATGTAAATGCTACTTTTTGGTATGAATTTTTCTAAGTTCTGTATAAACTTTGAAAGTGTGATTTATATAGTTTTTGTTAAAGCATGAACCATGATTTTATAAGAAAATATCAAAAAAATACTAGCTTGAAAAACATCAAAAATATTAAAAACGAAACACCATTCTTCCATTTTTGCCCGTCACTGTAGGTATGTATGTACATTAGGGTAGTCCAAAAACAGCAAATTCGGAATTGTACTGCTCTCACCCCCTAGGATTGCTCTATATCGAAAAAAGTATACCCCTGTTTTTTTATTTTGAAATCAAAAAATATTTAGAGGTCGCTCAAAGCGCTCAAAGTTTTCCATGTATTTTTATATGGGAAAAATACAATTTTTTGTAGAAATGGTATAGAATTCTTGAAAATCAATATTTTTCGATCGGAAAACTCCGGTTCTCTTCAGGATACTTTCAATAATCATACCCAATTGTTTATTTAACCATTTTTTAATACTAACGATTTTTTATTTGTCGCCCCATAGCATTTTTCGGGGTTTTTGACGGACCTATAAATTATAGTTGCGATGAAAAAATGGTTAAATAAAAAATTGGGTATTATTATTGGGAATCTCCTGCAGATAAGCAGAGGTTTTTGGTACAAAAATATTGATATTTAACTATTCTATACCATTTCTACGAAAAGTTGTTTTTTTCCCATATAAAATACATGGAAAACTTTGGGCGCTTTGAGCGATCTCTAAATATTTTTTGATTTAAAAAAAAAAGAAATAAGGGTATACTTTTTTCGGTATAGGACTATCCTAGGGGGTGAGAGCATAAAAATTCCGACTTTACTTTTTCACATGTATTTTTGGACCACGCTAATGTACATATCAATGCTTCATTTCAAACAAGCAAATGGCGATTCATTGTTTTTGAAATTCAGGATTATGACTTCGGCAACCCATCAAACATGCCTTCAGCAACAAATGAAATGGCTTTCAGCAACAAGTCAAACGATTTCTGCTACAAACGAACTGCGGCGTCTTGCCTTCGCCAACCGTCCCAATGAGCTCTCATGCTTTCGGCAACCGCCCAAATGAGCTCTCTTACTTTCGGCAACCGTCCTAATCATAGTTGCCAACTTGGTGCTTTAAGCACTAGGTTTAGTGCTTTTTTCTGAACTAAAATTACTCCGAGATAGTAAAAACCTGAAATATTTAAAGCTGTGGCAGCACTGAATTTACCAGAATCTACAAATTTAAATGCACTAAAATACAACCATTATTGACAAAAAGCTGAGGTTGCAAACCCACCTTGTTGAATTCCATTCGCGTTGAAAATGCTAGTACGCAGGTAAGTTACGTATTTATTTTTATACCCGAGCGCACTTGTGCACAAGGGTATTATAACTTTGTTCACATAACGGTTGTTTGTAACAGGCAAAACGAATCGAGATAGATATAGACAAATGTATACATAAATGATCAG